GACTGGGAAGGACAGCAACGAGAGCGTGTACGGACGGAGCAGGTCGAGTGGCGTTTTGCTCGGGCTGACTACAGCGGCACCGGATGGAGCAGCGGCACCGGAGCATGCGGGCGACATCAACTCGTGGCGCACGGACAAACATTTATATCTGTGTTGTCAATTTTTTCGTTTTTTTTTGCTGACTTTCCGTGTTGGTTTTGTGTGATGACGTCGTCACTGGTTTTGTAGAGAGACCCGTCAGAGATGGCGTGGCTAACCCGGGTGCCTTGGTTATGTGCCTGATCGTGGAAGACCCCTTCAATGTGGAACGATTCTTAGCTATTGTCGATATTTTCACTGCGTGCCTAACACAGACGATCGGGAGAGATTCGGGTGATTGTCCATTGCAATCATGGCTTTGGTTGGTTGTTCTTTTTCACTGTACGTCCGCAGACACATTCTGACAGCACTTCAGACAGCAGCTTTGTGCCCCGCCAGCTGCTTGTTCCATGCCTACCATGGTGTTTTGTACAGACAACACTTCAGACAGCAGTATGCTGTAGTCGGAAATCTTCCATTTTGGTATAGAGTGGGACAGGGAGGGGGTGATGCTACTACTGTAGTCGAACGGTGGGACGGACGTGCAGTTCAGTTTTTGGGCACGCATACGGTGCTGCAGGGATTTTTAGGTGTACCTCTTCGGGCTCTTGGATACCTTTTTCTCGTTATATGTGTGCGTGTTCCTTAGATCCTCTGATGGCTCTAGCACTTTCGTGACCACGGGCTGAGAGTCTTTGCTAGATTTTGGCATTTAGCAACTGACATACGGTTTAATGTGAAGTCAACAACAACAACTGCTGGCCCTTGCGGGTCCATTTTATTTGGTATACCTTTTCTAGGTACGTTAGCCTGTGACCACGGAAATTGGCCGAGTCAAGTGATGGATTAGTACGGAGAGATTGAGACAGAAGGAGGTACTGGATAGAGAGACCGGGATGGTTTTTAATGTGAAGACAACAACAACAACAACAACAACAACAACAACAACAACAACATACCCTGTTGTGCCGCTTTCCCTTTTTTTTCCCCAGCCATCGTACATTCAGCTATCAGTTTGAAATTGTTTTGTAGCTGAAACCGTGGTTGCTAATCAACTGCGTGAACACAATCGGGATGTGGCCACCCTAGAATACATATACCTGAACGGAGGAAAATTTCTTCTGTCAGAATCATGCAGGAGATAATAGCATCTTTAATTTTTGAAGTATGATTTTCTGTACTTTTGTAATGGACCACATCTTTAACTGAGTTTGACGAACTCGTTTTTTCTCAACACGGAAAATCTGACTCAGACACGGTTGAAGATGTTGCAACACAGTATGACACTACTTCCAACACCTGTTTCCATGTAATCGCCAAAGGCCTCTAGAAACGCCAAAATACACCCTTACTTAGCAACGATGAATTTGTGGCGCAAAATACTTCTCCCTTCTTCCCCTCGCTCCTCGACAAGCTTTTGCTTAGACATGGGTTGTAGTGAAGGGGGGGGTCTTTCTGGCGAGCAGGGCTAGACTCACCCTCAAGGGATGACCGAAACCTTCTTGCTGCTGCGCATATCCGCCGCGAGGCATGCGCGTGGTGGTGTAGTTGGGTCGGCACTGATGGGGTCAGGCGAAAAAATGTAGATGCGCGGGCCTCT